CACACACACACACACTGCTGATTTTTAATTCCAGAGGGAATCGCTGCAGGATGTTATCAGATCTGACCGTCGTTCAGCACAAACAGTCCTGCTGTATGTTAACACTAAACTCTCTTTTTATTCTAGAAAATCTGAGGAAAAAGTCTGGCCATTTATTACATTTCAGGACAGGGATTCTTAAAAGCTTTTACTTGAGCTTGAGCTCAAATATTGCCTCGACCTCTCCATGAGATTTTAATTCATTATTTAAATAATTTAACAACACATTCACATGTTCACAGTTCTCTGATGTCAGTCAGAGATTAAATTATTTATTATTTTCAATTTGAAATTAACTGATTTAATATTTTTAATATTTCAATAATTTAATGCATGTTTTCACAAATGTTTCATGTTTTTCTTTCAAGTGTTTTATCTTAAAATTACTTCTTTTAATTTTACATTTTTATGATTTCATTAATATTTCAATAATTTAACAACCCATTCAGATGTTGTTTATTGGTCACGTGACATACAGCTAAACTAATCAAATATCTCATGTTTTTATTCTGACTTTGTTTATTTTAATTATTGCTCATCGTTATGACGATCATTATTAGCTCTGCTCAGGTGCTGGCGGTCGTCATGGAGACCGGCCCGTCACTGTCAGGGATCATCAGCATCTGCGCGTCGCTGTAGAATAATTCAGATCAACAGCAGCACAGACAGGCAACCTCTGTCAAAACCAGTGACTGCTGCCGTGTGTGTGTGCTGGCTAGGGCATCACTCTGCTGTTGCTAGGGTGTTGTGTGTGGTTGCTAGGTGTTTCTGTCCTGTCTCAGTGGTCTTCAGGAGTGTAGATGAGGCAGATATTACAGTATGATGCTTTCCTCAGAGTTGGAGATTCTCAATTTGTTGTTCATAAAGAGATTTCAGGGGTCTGACTATCATCTCAGTGCGGTTCTAGTCTACAGCTGTCAGTATTTATTCATATTTAGCTCATATTCACTTTATACACATATTCATATTGTTATTTTTAATGATGATGATAATAATAATAATGTGTAGGAAAGGAACTCTTCTGGCCAATAACGCTCTGGCTCTGATCGCTGCGCTCCTATTGGCTCTGGGAGAGACGGCCGGATCCTTTGAGATGCTCATCATTGGTCGGTTTATCATCGGCATGGATTCAGGTCAGTCCTGATTGGCTGCAAAAGAAAGTGTCAGATAATCAGATACTCGATCACAGTGAAACAGCTCATGAACTCACGGATCTCGTTAATATCTCGATTGTTTCTCACAGGCATCAGTGAAAGCAAAAGGAGACTGGATTCAGTTCATAAGAATAAAAATACTTACTCTAACTTTTAAACAACATTCCCGAAAACACAACATATTCTTCCACATGTGGAATAGAGGATCATGCACAGAAATGAGCATTGTTAGCACGGAATGAGTGTCAGGAAAAGATAATATAACACATGAGCTTGTTTGTCTGTCAGGTGTGTCTCTGAGCGTGCTGCCCATGTATCTGGGGGAGATTTCTCCTCGGCAGGTGCGCGGCTCCATCGGTCAGTTTCACGCCATCTTCATCTGTCTGGGCGTTTTCATCGGGCAGCTGCTCGGACTGCCTGAGATCTTTGGACAGGTGAGTCTGCAGATGCTTTAATCTTTGTTAGTCTCTTCTGCTCACCAAGGCTGCATTTATTTGATCAAAAAT